ATCTGAAATATTTATCTCGCGGGCAAGAATTACTGGGGAGGAAGAGAAAATGTAGGAAATAAATTTCATTTTGTATTGAATCCCTATACAATATCATTCCAAAGCTTATGCAAACAAATTACTCTTATTCTTTGACCACACAAGTCGCGTCTGAAATCTCCACTGATGAATTTGTTTGTCTCCAACTTCGCGTTTGCAGACAACCCAGTGGTAGACGTCACAATTCCTAATAACAATTCTTGACTCTCTCACGCTGATTAGGCCATTTGCGCAGTCGTTTCTTAGTGCATCGGCATAAATAGGCTCATGATTTTCAATACGAAGATTGTCGCCGCGGCGCCATTAGGTTCACTCCAATTTTAAGGCATCCTTATACAACGGTGACAAAAGTCGATTTGAAAAAGTGAAGTGAAAAAGATGAAAAATGTAAAGTCGGTCATGTTGTGTGAGACCGATTCGAAAAAACTAATCAAAACACAAACATTGCGGAAATTATTAAAAATATTCGCAGACAGGAAATTTCGAGGTGTATCTATTCAAGTGAAATCTTACAAATTTATAGTTGTGGTGAAAATAAATTAATTTGGTACATATTATGGGGTCATGGTATAGAAACGATCACATTGTTTCTCAAAATAGCTAAATAGAAGCTACAACTAACATTGTGTCATACTTAATTATTATTTTATGAAAAATTACGGTTTACTTTGTCGTCTTTTTTGTTGTTGCCGAAGCTATGGATTCACTGAACTGCACGACACTTTTCAGTGCGTTTCGAGAGCTGCGGCAAACCGAAAGTACAAGTGAGTAATTGTCCCATGTGACTGGGCGTCAAGGCTGTGTTGAATACTCATTGTCAGTTGAGATCTCAATGGAGGACTATAGAAACGTTCGCACGCGTACTAGTCATGTAACACGTTTTTCATTTAATGACGAAGGTTACAAAGCGGAGAAGCAGTATACCATAAGATACTTAACATGCAGAAAAATTCCTGTTATGTGCTACTAAGCGTTCGTGTTCCAAACAATCTTAAACTGCAAGTTATTGTTTCTCCTTAGGAATATTTTAATACAACTCGATTTCCGAAATGTTTGTATGCACGTCCTTCTAATACCACGAGATCTAAAAATTTCTAACCTTTGTATGCTTGAGAGAAAATAGTCCACAACGAATTTTCTCAAATTGAAAGAATCCGAATAAAATAACACTTTGATTAATAAACTAAGAAGTCGACCGCTCTAAGGATATTTCTCTAAGGCAATGGGTTGAAGATTTATTACTGCCCCGATGCATTGTTTCATAAGCTTCATTATAATACAAACTATACTTCAACTTCAACACGTTCATTGCACGATACGTGACGCCACTTACACGATGTAGGCAACCCGCAACACATTAGACTTTTTTTTTATTTATTCACATTATCAAAATTAGAAGTAATAACTCCGAGCCCAAACCACTCACGGGACAATGGCGAGTATTGGTCGTTTACCTAATAATATATCTTTGATCGCAAGGTGGAAATGAACACAAATTCAAGATCCACAACCAAACACATTTCGTATCATTTCATTCGCGAAGACTGGTTATTCCGAATAGTACTCCGCCATGTTCAATAACTTTCATTCTTTACGTTTACCAAAATAACACGAATAATTTCCGACTCGGTTCTTCCACCAGCAACACGCTAAGGACTCGCCAAGTGGTTATTAGGGAAAGGTTTCGCCACAAATTCCGCGCGAGACATTTTCCTCGCCATTATGCTCCAAATGGGCTCTTGCCTGCCCGGAAGCGGAAGGCGCGGCGCCGGGTGGAGCGTCGAGGAGCGGAGGATAATAAGCGCCGATCGCAGAGCGCTTGGCAACACTTGGAAAGTGAGCGGGCGGGCGAGAAGCGAGCGGTGTGATTGGAACCCGCGTCAGGCGCTGCTTGGCGTTGCGACACGCAGCATCCGCTCCAAACTCGCAGCGCCCGTTGCTTTGGAGACTCGCCATGTTTGGAGAATAACGGAAAAGCCATCTCAAATACTGTGTAATGTAATAGAAAACAAAGCATATTGTTCTAAAATAATTTGGTAGTGATGTTTTGTACACATAATGTACTGTTTACTCACTAGCAAACTAATTACCTGAAACATCTACAAGCTGTTCCATCTATATTGAACCTCTTAATGATCTTTTCTATGTAAACTAACATCTCCGACATAAAAGGAGATCTAAACCATACAACTTATGCATTCAAAAAATCACAAAAATTCGTGGGAATTTAATTTATGTCTTCATAGGACTTTAAATAATTTCTTGACGTGTATTCATTGTTCTTTAAATGTACTTGCTGTGACAGAACTTAAGACTATTTAAGCCCCAATACGTAGGACACCTTTGATTTCTTAAAAACAAAATAGGTTGTGTAATATGAACGCTATAATTTCATTGTTTCCACATCGTTCTTTACCGAGGGTCATCGAAAAAAGGCGAGACAAAATTGAGTACTTTCACTGGGTTAATAAAACAAGCGGGAGCGTTTTTGAGCTATTCTGGGTCGTCGCGGGGCGCGACGAGGTGCCGGCAGGGACCGCCCCGCCTCCGCCCCCGGCCGCGTCACGTGAGGACCGTTCGTGACGCTTCCCCGGCCGCCGCGCCGCCGCCGCCGCCGCGCCGCGCCGTGCACGCTGGCCGTGTTTAGGCCGGCGCGATGCCATTATGCAGGACGTCGTGGCACGTGGGACCTTCCTCAAAAACCGCGAAAGCAGGCGATTGTTTTGCCCCCCGCCAATGGGTTGTTCGTCGGTTTAATGAGCACGATTCCAGCGGGGCTGCGTGGAACGCATTAACATAAGGCAGTTCGGCTGCTGAGGCGTTTCATGCAGAGGAGCAGCTATAAAAAGAATGTGTGGCCTTCGTGAAGCGCTTATCTCTGTATGGAGTGAAAATCTCTTCTGCGAACCTCTGATTGTCCCGAGGCCTAAGTGAACCTTGGGGAAGATGAACTCATTCCGTTTACAGTCCTCTATCACGCACGTGAATAATGGGTTTGAGCGAGAGTAATTGAAAGTACCGTGAGAAGGGAATTAATGTCGAAATATGGAATCATGCATTGATTACGCATAAGAAGAATGATTCGAAACTCTATATATTTACATATTCATACGACTTTACCACTGTACTAAAACACTATTTTTTTTGTTTACATGTTCAAGATGGTGGAGTGAACAAATTACCATTGAAAGGTTTACAAACAAATATACTAGGCTGTATCATTTTTGTATCCTAGATTCATTATGCTAACATCCAAACAATTGTAACAAATCAGGAGGAAAATGAAACATATATTCACCTAGATGACGCATACCAATTTCATTTTGTAAATATTAATTTCTGTTGAAAACGTACCTAAACTGCATATTAGTAAATGCAACCCGCTACAAACGATCCGTTTTATGAAGGTTGTTTCTTGACATAAATTAACTCTTAAACAGGACAACCTTAAATTCGGTTAAGGACCCGAGTTAACTAATCCTCAATCGTCAAAAAGCTATTTTTGAGGATTTCGCTCCTCTAGGAACCTCCACTTGATGAAAATGGTAGGACGTGCAGAATCTCGAATTGTATGAAAACACGTTTCGCTAACATTTTTTTCATCATACGTATTTAAGGGAGACAGATCGGATTTTCACATCCGAGAGTTCTCGCACATTACATTCACACATTACACGCAAGTTACATTTCCTTACGAGCGTTGATGGTACGTCCCGAATTTCACGAGTGACGGGAGATACCCATTTCAGCTCGTCCTCCGGCACATAGGAATGTCGGTCACATTCGATAAGTAATATCGCATTATAGCTGCCAGAGCGGGCACAATGATATAATGATCATTTAATAATGACGGCTTTAGGGGAAATAAAAGACAAAAATCCCACAATCATGCGAACGATAAAGGCAATTATCACTGACCATAACTGTTATTGTAATTGAAGAATTTTAATTTTCATTAACCGATATTACGGTACATTTTACGGACAAGTAAACTCAGTGTATTGGTGATAAAATAACACAGTATAATTACGGATAGAATTTGAGACCAGAAAGCAAATGGCATTGGATTCTAGTATTCATCTCATAAATATTTAATAAGATATTAATAGCTGAAATTGAAATTTAATTGCTAACTCATCTTTTGAAGTAACCAGTAAGGTGTATATCTTGCATACGGAAGCATATATATGCAAAATTAAGGTTTTTCCTTCATCAATGCAGGTGAAACTTTTTTTAATTCAGCTTTGAGCACCTACTTAATTTTTCATTTCTCTACGACACATCTGTAACACCACAAAAACTGAATTCATGCTTGTGATGTTGTCTAACTTTATATCGACATAATCACAACTTTAATGCATACTTTTTGTTTTTGCTGATTTAAGAAATATAATCATATAGATTGAAAAAAGGTTTGAATAGTAAAAGTAATTTGTGAAATATCTCGCTGTTTCATAAGAAGTACATAATATCATATTGAAGGAATGAGATCAAATTAAAATTTAAATGATTTCTTGAGTACCTTTCCATGCTAGTAGAAAACTTTTGAGACGAAGTCGAACTTCACATTATTTTGAACTTAAGATATTATCGTTGTAGCCTACCAGATTTTTATGAAATAGCTTGCAAATATGATGCTCGAAACTTGCTTCAGGAGATATAAAAATATGATGAACGTTGAAGACTGTGAAGATGAAACATAACCGAACATATGGCGAACTGGCAGACGTTCAGACACCGAAATGACCTTTATAACGTACATACGTATCTTGGGAGCCCTTGAGTTAATATTGCTGACAGTCCAACGCATATACATACTCTCGGAATCTTACACGTGAGTCACAGATTGCCTAATCCCGACACAAGCCTCCGTCTTCCTTGTGTGCGTCTCCATGAGCTGGGAAAAAGATGTACCTTAAAAAAAAGTGTTCAAGGCGACCTGTAGGTAGAGGTTAGGTCGTATGCCTTCCATCGCTTGTACCAAGGTTCAATTCCCGGTAGATGTCCATGTAATTTGTGGCCCACAAAGCGACGGTTTTGCGACAAGTTTTCACGAATTTAACTCTCTACCATAATTTATACTATGTATTTATAATCACCTGCCCATTAATAATTCATTCATCACTACTCATTTATATATTCCAAGTAAGTTACTGATGTTTGGTCACTGAAATTATAATAAAACATAACAAGTGGTTAGTATATTCGTGAAGTTCACTATCACTACACTGCAATTTGTCTGAAACAGGGAGCTGTTCCGGCCTTCGGAGGTTTTTAGCTTTACCCTTCCCATCATCGGATGCACAAATTTACCATCAGTCAGGCATCCGTCTACGCCGGAACACAATACACTTGAAGAACGCCTACCCATAACCTCATAATGTGGGTGGGGCCGCTTTGACAGCTCGAAGTTATCCAGCTTTCCAGGTGGATATAGAAGGCATATGCCATGCACAAACGGGACAAGCCTGTTCTCAATATTCTCTTTCTATCCATAACCTGGGGGAGTCATTGGCACGACAAAACCATAACCTGACTGGTGGACCACACGGGATGATCAGAGCGGGAACTCCCCTCAACCTTCTGTCCCCTCATTGCCCCTACATTGGCACCAACGTTGTGAATTACACGGACAAGCTAGGCATCCTGACGCTAGATTTTACGCGGGGGACCCAAAGCGATCTGAGATAAGCACTTCCTCACAGCTTTTTCTTAATTCTCCAGCCACTGGAACAAAAGGTGATCTGCCCCTGATCGCTTTGCACGAGCATGTGTTTTCTTTCGCCCGCAGCCGCGCCCGCACGAGGCGGGGGGCGTGTTCGGGCAGGGCCCCGTGGTGCGTCGGTGGCGCATGGGGTCGGCGGTGCCCGTGCGCGTGGAGCTGACGGCCAACCACCGGGGCTACTTCGAGTTCCGGCTGTGCGCGCGCGACCGGCCGCAGCCCGAGGCGACGCAGGCCTGCCTGGACGCGCATCTGCTGCGGCGCGCCCCCGCGCCCGGGGGTCCCGCCGCCGCCGCCCGGCGCGTCGCCGCCGCTTCCGCCTCCGGCTCCGCCCTTGAGGACGAGGGCGAGGAGCGCGCCGGCCGATTCTTCCCCGAAGCCGGCGCCAACCGCGTCTTCGAGATGCGCTACCTGCTGCCGCCGGGCGTCGTCTGCGAGCGCTGCGTGCTCCAGGTAAGCCTCGCTTCCTTTTCATTGATTTTTAATTATTTTTTCGGGTGGTACGTGAGTTTGGGTCAATACCGACGTTTCGGCCATATGTTTGGCCTTCATTAGGGCTGCAGGGTTATCAACAAAGTATATTGTACATTCTAAAAATTACGATTTTTGTAGTTCCATCTCACATAACCCATAGTGGATTTCCACCCTGCCCTAAACACGTGTTGTGCATTAGGCTGATTAGCAAGTTGAGGTTACAAAATGTACAATATACGGCAATAGAGTCCACCTCGTCGATTAATTTTGCAAAAACAACGCCCCACATGTCCAACTTAACACACCACTCGTTAAATACTCGCGATACTAATAAGAACATAACGTTAAAAAATTCAGCGAAATCGGTCGAGTAGTTTTTGCGTCTATATGCGACTGTCATACGCACATTCCCTTTTATTTATATTTAAGATCACTTCTTCAGGTATTTTGCAACCTCCGTCCCAAACAATCCGGCACGGAAGGGAATTGTAGAATGGAATTTTGCACGTCATAGCTTTCAACAATCGATTGCAATCTCGATCTTCTGTGCGGGCGTAGATACACAAAAGTGATGCGTAACTCGCCCTGCGCATGCGGGGAAGATCGATAGTGCTGTCGATTGCTGAAACGCTTCGCCTTGCAAAAACTCCTTAATATGTTATATACTCTAAGGAACAGCCTGTTCCTTGCTTCAATTTTCCGAGGGTATTTTTGACCCTTCTCGGATAAGTCACTTGCCACATTTTCCGATGTAGACATTATTACTTCTATTATAAAATCATACATTCCAACTTTTTTCTTCACCTCACCTTCTCAGAACTATTAATCACCAGATAGTCTCTGGTAGTTTCAGTCGTATGAAAATCCGAGCCCCCCGTGTGTTCAAGGTTAAATAACAGGGTCGCGGTTGCCCTTCCCACCTCTCCAATCACTCCCTTCCCATTTCGATCGCTCGTAATTAGCGGGTTAATTGACGTGACTCCAATGGCAGGAGTTGACACAGAAACGCACATGCGGTCGCCAAATGCTGTAAGTAATACTACAGTGGCGACGCAACTCCGACTATCCCCCTCCTCCAAGATTGCTTCATATCTTCGGTCCACGTATAGTATAACCCAATGTCAATGAAAGCCACATGCCTTGAAACATTTGTTTTCCATTCCCCACTCTTTGGATTTTCATTCCACACATCCACGGACCATTTCTTACGAAGTGAGCCTCTTGGGACGACACACACACCACCAATGTAACCGTTTGTACTTCGCCTCCGATGAAACACTGATTTAAAACATACTATATCATGGAGTCAAAATGAGAGGGTTCTATCCGTCTTAGAAGAAATTTTATAGGAGCGTTTTAAAAATTTGGTGACATCTGCTAAATATACTTAAAAATACAAATGGAACTACGTCATTTTGTTCATAGAAAGTTAAATCCGGTGTCATTTGAAAACTGTTTTAGCATTTTGTGTATTTGAGAATAGTGTTCGAACTTGCCAAAACATCGTTTTCGTTAAACTGGCAGATTAAACCTCGACATTCTGAGGCCGCAATATCTAAATACCCTTGCCTTTAAAAATGACCACTCCATAAACTCCGTAGTCAAATGAGCTTAGTCAGGAAATGACCAGATAAAGTTTCGATAGCATCCGTGGAGAGTTCGGCATCTGGGTCAAAAAAATTTGGTAACCGCTTACGTGCTTACTCCAGAACGCAGTTGCGCCAATGGCCAAAGTGGAGGTGAGCGCAGGAAATGGCGAAAGCATACACAGGAAGTCCGAAAGATACCTCCCAGTTGAGATATAAACTAACAGAAGTTCTCAAGAGAGTATGTCTGAGTAGAGAATTAACTGTAATATATATTTTTTATAACTTCAAAGGTAACTTTAAAATTATTACTCCTGTTTTAAACCACTCGCCTACTTACAATGACAAATACTCTTCTATACTGAGTGCTACTTTTTAACTGAATTGTATTAAAATATGTTACACATATGGGAAAGAGGCGATCTACATTGTAGAATTACCAACCTCTTCCCACCCGCACGATACATTCTTAATAAGCATATTCCCTTTACTATTCTAGCAGTCAATAAATTCTTTCCGTTAAATTCCATATCAAAATCACAGAATTCTAGTAACCATAGTATTCATTCAGGACTAAATCACAAGCGTAAAGGCAGTTTCTTAGATTCTCTTAATTTCCAAATTCACATACCTAAGACTTATCTGTTCCATAAGAACTACCTTATTTTCATCACCTCTAACAAAAATATAATAGATTATACGATATATGATTACCCCCTCTCCGACTACAGTGATTGCTTCCAAATTTTGCCCGAACAATTTTGGAAAATCGAGAAAAAATAGAGGAAATGTAATTTAAAGTGTTACTCCGAAATGTGTTTTTTTAAATAAAATTCAGTTTTATGCAATTTGCACTAAATCTAGAGAGTGTTGTAGCCTTAAGGCGCGGGGCGACCAATGGCTTAGCAAATGGGGGAGGCGGGAAGCCGGGCGGAGCAGACGGAGGGGGCGTGGCAAGCGAAACGGACGGGCGGAGCGAAGTTAGCAGAGCGGTAAATAAGTGTCCCAGCAACACCGGGCAGTCAGCTAGAGTGGTATATAATTTTATCATCATCTGTGTTTAACAGCTCTACGAGCGACCAAATAAAAATAAGCAAGTAAATGTCAATATCACTTTCGCCCGCTGAGGGTAAGTGGAGTAATTTGCGTATCAAGCAGCAGAAGCTTCTGGAAGTAGAACGCACATTCTCCGGAAGCTCATCAATCGCGTCGGGCAAAAGGCTAGCGATAGGCGAAAGCGACAAAAACACACGACTTCTCCAGCTGTAGGTCACCACCTCAATTGAAAACGCCCACTTTCTTGTTCTGAAAAAATTGGCTTCTTATTGAAATCGTCAATGTGCCAGGCCAACTCAATGATACTCTCAATTAGGTCACGTATGGACGAAAGGAGGTCGTACGATTGAAGGAAAGAAAATTAGAAGAATCCCTAAAAGGCGACGAGATACCTACGTATTTTGGTAGTTCAATGAAAAATGTTTTTCACACAATCAAAATATACAATTTTATTTCCTACTCTCTTTACTGCTAAATGCTCATTATTACTTTGTTTTGGATTTATTTTTAATATAATACTCTCAAGGCATGCTTTTACCTAACTTCCATCATTTGATGTTTTTTTTTTTAAATCACGTACCCGTAATAGTTTCGAGTAACGTAAACTCTTAAAACAAAGAAACATCAGAAAAGATCTCCGATAACCTTAACAAGCGGGAGCTCTAATACAGCATGAATAATCAAAAAATCCCACGTAATCCGCTTTATAATGAAGGAGATTACGATTTACAATTACGGTTCCAACTCACGCGTCCTGGTAGTTAATAATGAGCACGTTTCAATTCCGCGTCCTTTGCCACGAGCGTCTTCGCATGGGGGGCAGGCCAAGGATGCGCGGGAGACGGCACGAGCGCGCGCGCGCGCGGCCACGCACGAGCGCACGCGGGGCACGGCACGGTCGGGGTCACGCGCGCGGCCCTGGCAGGTCGCCAGGCGTCGCCCGCGGCCTGGCGCCTCGCGCCCGCAGGGCCACCGCCCCGGCGGAAATGCGGACGCGCGGCCAGTCGGAACTCTGGCACGGCCGGTATTCGGGACGGAATCAATTGAAACGCCCCAGACTGTGGTTCCCGGCGGATGTATCGCCTAACGCTCTCTAGAATGGACGCAGCGAAGATTTGACGCTAGGAGGTTGTGAGAGGTTTTGCACAAATTCATGACAATCATTATGACAATTAACTACAATACGTATTTGAAACATTCCATAATGCGGTTCTCAGTAGATATATCACCTAACCTCCTCTGCTAAGGGAGAAGTTAGCATGAATTTCAGGAAGACGGTAGACACTATCACTCATAAATTTCACATATTGAAGAAAAATAATATTAAATCTGTTATCATTTATCACCATTTCTCCACCCCCGTAAGATTTGTCCATTTTCTTAGCACTTCGCAAATTTTCCCAATGTAAGGAACATTATCTCACGGGAAAGATAAAAAACTTGTATGTTCTAAGTGTCATGAATCATTGAGGTAGACAATAATAGACATTTTGCCCCAACTTACAGATTTATTCAGGAAGGTCAAACGTGATTAAAAATCATTGATACCTGGTGCACTCTTGTATATCGAATAGATTTCATAATATAACGAAAATCATGGGAAATTCTCTTGTATAGGAGGTTGCACATATCCTGAAAAAGGAAATGTTTTAAACTTTGTATCACCGAATTGGCTCAAACGAATGTGATAGCGTAACTTACGAACGCAATATTGCATAATATTATTCAATTTTCCACCAATCCAATTGTCCTCTTTGTAAGACAATCAGTAGCAGCTAGCAGGGAAGACTGCATATCTACTTGGCAGAATTAAAAATAATCATAAAAATAATCAGAGATGAAGCTACAGAAGAGATATGTTGTTGTATGTTCTCTCGTTATTAATGTTAAAAATGTGTATCAAACACAAATTAATACTATTTTTCAGCAATGTATTTTGTACATTTCGACCCTTTTGTGTGTCTTTTTACAAAAATCGTATCTTTATTCCAGGATTGTAAAAATTCTTGTTACATTTTTAAAACTATTGAGTACCATTTCGTATAAAAATTGTAAATATTAAGACACTGGAATAAAAAACTTATGATCTATTAATGATAAAAACATGCTAACTGAACAACGGCGGAATATATTCAACATTAATTAAATTAGAGATTTATGCGTACATGGAATTCGGAAATTGAAATAAAAAAAGTGACGTTATTTGTCATTATTTATTTAAACAATTGTAAGTATAAAACAAAGGTGGTCATCCTCTAATTTCACCTTTCAATATTGATGCACATTTACGTGCGTTATGAACAAATATCAGGAATTTAAATAACAAATTCCCAGTCTTCTATTACTCTTTCAGAGCGGACCGTAAATGGCGACACACTCTCACTCATCAAGCACACACTGCATGAAAACAAAGAAACGAGTATATTTGCTTTACCACAATTATGTAAAATATTATATATTACCTGGAATTGAAATATAACGAGTTTCGACTAGACAGGAACAATGTTAAACATCAGAAATATTACATGATATACAATAAATCAAACCATACTAAAGAAATTATCGATAAAGACTCAAATACAACTCTTTAAAGATCAATACCAACTGATTACATTAATGGCCTTTTATTTAGTGGCACTTGAGAGGTACACACATAAATACACTCTAAATATTCGACATTCAATTTGTTGCCTTTGCCATTTTCTCAACAGACAAAATTGATATGAATTATTTTGAGTCTACGATGAAGTATCTTTAAAACGTAGAAATGCCTTTCTAAGAAATTATTTTCAATAAGAAAAGCACCAAAAGTTTGTGTTTGTAGATGTGATAAAAATCAGTTTTAATAGAAAGGAGGGAAAAATGAAAAATACTACCATCTCAATTTCAGGTAGCAACGAACATTATAGTGTTCCCTCTATTATTTGGTAATTTACGCATTTTCAATGTTTCGAGAAAGGAAAAAAGAAGCGATAGAAGAAGTAGATGAATTATGTGCAAGGGTATCAATTATGTTCTTCCTGAATTGCTAATTGTTTGTTGCGTTATGAAAAATTACTTGTTCAGCTGCTCTTAATTTTGCTTTAGCTCTCGAAATAACAGGATGGTAATTAAATCCTTCGTGGCTCCACGAAAAACTAATCTGCTCTAAGAGATGAACTGTTTCCGCAGCCACCCTCTCGAACGCGAGTGCAAAGGGTCGCTGTGCCCGTCTCGTGTGTTGCAGTGGCGGTACGTGGCGGGCAACAGCTGGGGCCGCTGCGAGAACGGCACGGAGGCGGTGGGCTGCGGGCCGCAGGAGGAGTTCCGCGCGTGCGCGGACGTGGCCATCGACGGGCAGGGCGAGCGGCCGACGGAGGCGCCCGCGCCGGCGCCGGGCGAGGGCCCCACCGAGGGCGCTGGCGAGGGCGAAGGCGAGGGCGAAGGAGAGAGCGAAGGCGCGGGCGAGGGCGAGCGGCCGCCCACGGCCGAGGAGCACCGCGGCCGCGCCTGGTGGGCCGCGCTCGTCATCGTGGTGGCGTCCGCCCTGGCCGCCGCCGCCACGCTGCTGCTGCTCTACGTCTACTACTACCACGCCGCCGACGTGCTCAAGAGCTGGCTGCGCGGGCGGCGCGCCGCGGCGGCGGCTGCCAACGGGGACTACGTCTCGTGAACGCCCGCCGCCCTCCGCTCCTAGAGGCACTAGATACGAAGAGATGCGCATTCCTGTGCGCCGCCGACTCCGCCATTCCATTTGCGCGTTGGGGACCGCCAACCTATCCGAAACCAATATTACTTTGCTCAAAACCTTCAAGTGTTATCATTTCTCTTCAACTCTGGAGTGCCACCTGACGGGGCCATCGGGTGCGATATCAAATGTTGGCGGTAGCGCTACTCTCTGTACCTAGGCACTCTCTATCCGCTGCTTCCTCGAGTCCGGCGCCGGCCGAGGCCGTCGTGAGCCGGGGGCGTGGCCGCTCAGCCGAAGCGCGGGGGCGCGGGCGCGGGGGTCGCCGCCGGCTCCATGAGCGACCGCAGGAACGAGTCCCCGTTGATCATCTTGGTGGTGGCCACCAGGAACTCCACGTTCGCTGCAACAGGCACGGCGCACAGGTGCACTTGTGCTGCAGCTACTGCAAAAAGACTTCTTACGGACGTTTCGATGTGCATTTTATACGTGGGATTTACTCGTGCGAGAGGGTACAAATTTTAAGTGTTACTTATAAAATTGTAAATATTTTGGATTTACATGTTTGTTTTTATGTGCAGCTGTAAATTGCTTACAATAAAGCGACAAAATATTACAATGATCTTTTCATTTACGTTAGTGTTGGTGATGACGGCAATAGGAAGCTTCTTGAGTCTTGTAATGCCAGTGAATGACAATGTTGAAGCCTGCTGCAGAGAAAGTGAAGGGGGCTAGTTACATCATTCGAAATAACACTCCGCAAGGGCACTGCTGGAATATCTCCAACATGCCGCAAACAAGTTTTGTTCAGATTTATACATTCCAAAGCATATCGTGGAAACCACTTCATAGAAAGTAAAAAGATCCCACTCTAGCGAAAAGAAGGAATGAATGAAGTATATCGTTACTTTCGATTAATCAATAAGCAACTACGCTTTCACTTTCTCGGGATCTTTCGGCATGTAAATTGTACACTGGCATGCAGAGTATACACGTGCAGAGAAAGGTAAGGAGATACAATATTTAAACCACTTAAAACGTAAACGCTTGTAGTCACTTTCCTACCAAACAAATATTTTTACATTTGGCGCATTATTGTTGACGAAACCTGGCGAAATAAGTGTAAAATGTTATTACATCAGACCCACCAAACTCCTAAGGCCACGAAGATCTCTAATGATTCATTACAACACGCATTAATCCAGGGGATGTTTAGAAAATGAAAGCTGTATCTAGAGTAAATTGTTAAACTGCAGTAGATATTTCTCAGTGCGACAATTGACATTAGATGGATTAACATTTCCAACTTTCAAACTTCGTACTTGAATTAGCGTCAAATAGTTCTAACAAATACGAATTTGCGAAGGATCAACTCATTAATTCGAAGCGTGAATTTTAGTTTTAAAACTAAATAAGTTTTGAAAGAAAAATTAAATACATTTTGAAAAAGTCCCAAAGAGTTATTGAACAAAAAGGTTCAAGAATGTATGTCTGCGTGAATAGACTGGTATGATGGAAGAGAAAGAAGAAATCTGTAACATAGTTGAAAAAGAAAGAGCATATTTATGTATTTTTCACTCGCACGTTTTCGATGGTTCTGCAAATTAACTTGGCGAAAAAGAGTTAAATATTCCTGGAGTAAGAAGGTTCTCCTTGGAGTCAGATTCAAGAATAATTCAGTAAGACATAATAATTAAGAATTGTCTAGTTGACATTCAGGTAAGTTTGCGAGTAAAATCTATAATAAATATGACGCCGCTTTTTCGCATCAAAAGTCAAAAAATGTATTGCGCCACCTCGCTAGTGGAACGGCAAGAGTATGAAGTATGTCCTTTAATGCATGCACATGGAGCTTCAAACAAGACACTGCGCATCTCCTTTGCCTGTCAGAGAGACTCCGCAACCCAGCCACAAATGTTTATGTTTCGGCCGTCAAGCTGAGATCTTTCTCCAGGCAAAATGTGCGCAGTCCATCTCCGCGCATTTCGCCCTGCATTAGATCGTAGTGTGAGAGCAAAAACGTTGGCAACTGTGCCTAGGACGCGGGAACTCGCAGACAGTTAAGCACACTCAGACTTCGGCCGTCGAAGTCTATGTATTTCTTCAAGATACTGCGTGTTCAGGGAAATATATGGGACACCCACCATAACAACACTACTCCTCCTAGGACGACTAGCTTGTAGTGGTAGCCGTTTTCAGGAAGATACTAAAGGAATCATTTGAATTTGATTCCGAGCCTGGTAAACACTATCAAATTCAATTTTCCATTTATATTAGAAATGTAAAGTTTAACTAATTTACTGAGAACACAAATATTGATCTCGGCTGTCCGGGTGGCGCCGCGTCGAAGGCGGGTGTGTCGACGTTTCGACCAACGCGGTCCTCGTCAGTCGAAACATGTGTCAGTTGGAACGACGGCACCCCAGCCATCGACGCGGCGTCACCCGGACAGTCCAGATATTGACTGACGCAAAAGCTTAAGATATCAATAAAAATATTGACATACGCTGCTCAATCTCTCATTTCGATATCTCAATTTAGTTTGTGTCTCCCGCGAATTAAAAAGGAATACATTTTATTTAAATTGCATTACACACAACAGTAAGTGCATAAAAAGCATTGAGCGCCTGTATAGTAGAGAGGTTTCAGGTGAGTATCTGCCTGGAGGAGGGTGCGCCAGCGCGTGTATGCTCACAGTCCTCCTGCTGGGAGAGGAAGCGCAGCGCGGCCACCTCCGCGTAGGTGCAGCCGCCCAGGAAGAACACCAGCACCACCTTGGGGGCGTCGGGCGCGCCGCCGGCGCCGCCCAGCGCCGCCCCGCCGCCGCCGCCGCCGCCACCTGAGGACACGCGCGCCTTCGCCTTCGACTTCGCTTTCTACGACGACGCGACGCAACGTGCCGCCCCGCGCCGCAGCGTCCGGCCGTCCACCCGCGCCGCTCGCGCAACGCCCCTTGCAGCGCCCGCGGGCGATGCGACGCCCAACAGCGCGGCACCGCTTCGCAACACCACTCGCCATTCTACTGGAGAAGCTACTACAAAGAGACTGCCAATTTTCTTACAAGAAAAATGGCATTATTATCATCCATGGATTATACTAGAAGTTCCTCCCAAATGGTCCGCGCATCCCTGTCTTCAATTCCTCAATTACAATATACTTATTTGGCAGCTCTAGAAACATGTCACCTTCATTACGCCATCTGGTCCAGAAATGAAGGATTGATTAAAAAAAATATTTTCGAATTTAGCTTGAAGTGACTTCAATGATTCTTTTATACATAGCAATTATAATACAAAATGGGACTGACTGTTTTAATTTTCGTCGAGTTTATCCCGAAGGAAGGCATACTAATTAAGAATATACACATTTTTTACTAATACAATTACTGTATTCCATTGGTTAATGATCATTAAGGACCTCATTAGCGCCACCTTATTAGCCTTAAGCCTTGAAAAGTGTGTTTGATGTACAATGGTGACAACGGGCAGCTGGCAGTGCATGAGAGCGGAATAAATTCATTCAATTATGAGTGACATAGCTCGTAATTTCAAGCGGCTAGAGAAACGTACAAATGTCTCCATAGCCTGCATGCATGCAAGAGATGAGCCAAAATAATAATACATGTCAAGATGTTCGTGTACTTGTCCTACTAAATTGATATACCAAGTTGCCAAATTACTTACAAATTACAAGTGAATTCTTTTTGGCCATTTTTTGTCATTTGCAACTCAAACATTTGTCAGAGACGAAGAGCAACTTTACTGGGACATCAGTATTAATGTTCATTTAGATTTAATTTTCTCTTGATCGTAATATAACTTCGTATTTAATCTAAAATATACGTATTTTTATTACAAACTTCTATTAATTTTCACTATACACACATTGATATTTTGTTTCATAGAATTCAATACAATCAACACAATTTTGAAGAGAATGAAACAACTGCGCCTTCAGCAATTGTAAATCCGTCTTGGCGACTTGGTTGATTACGCAATCATTATTTAGTCACCTACGTTTTAATCACTTCATCAGATCTTCCGAGAAATACTGCCATAGCAGCCTTCAAGCATAACAAGAAACTAACATAAGGGTTCAAATATCAAAACCCAGCTATCTGGGGACTTGTAGTCCTCAATACTCGTCTGTTTTAATGTACGTTAGATTTCACAAAAAAAAGGTAAAAATTACGAAGTCAGAATGATTCGATACAAATTTCACGGTACACTAATAAAACCATTACCCTCGTCGTCGAAATAACATTCTTTTTCAAATTTTGCGGTCTCGGATGTTCAGTGGCAAAGCTTGAAAGGCAATTCACCATTATTTGCACAGCTACACCTTGTACAATTCCAACACAGAATCTCTGGCGCTTGTAGCAAGGACGCGAAGTCTCCCTGGCAGTGAGTCCTAGAACGACTCCTAGCGCGGAAGCCTTCGACTTCGGCATCAGGAATGCACAGTGGCAGATGCGATTCACAGCCTCGCTAGGCGCTTTTGGGGGGTCATGTTTATTTCATTCTCTGCCACTTCTCCGTTCTACACCTGAAGGACATCCAAGTCCGAGTTACCTTTACAATGCATGCTATTTTGCAAAATTGAATCTATCTGCACATACTCCGTATTTTTCACATGCTAATATTAATGTCTTAAAAATAAGAGTACTTTTGATCGACACATTGTTGCAATATTTGCGATATAATCTCACTTTAACCAAAAACATTTCGCAACTCTTACCAACAAAATAATACTCAATAACTTGGTCTAACGCTAGACCATTAACAGCTGCCATTTAACTTTCTTATTTTCTCGAAGAGCAGTTACTTCTTCCTTTACATGAAGCTGCAAATTTCTCATTTCTTTCCATTAAATTATCAATTTTTAAGTGTTCTTCCTCACTGCTTTCATACATCAACAGCTTTACTAAAAAATAGTATCAATTCGCCTCAATCCGGGAACATTTGGAACATTTTCTTCACCTCGGACGTGCCATATTCTATTTTGTCCTAATATGTTTTCTCTTGACGCAGTGCGATGTAATAATGCATTGCTCAAACATACAGTAAGATACTATAAAATATCTAAAACTAACTTTGGAGCAATTGGTTACCAACACGACACCACTGATTAATCGGAATATGTATTAAATCTTACTTGAGGATCAACAAACTTACTTCATATAATAAAAATAAGCCCAATCATTTTCGCCAAACTTAAATAGTATGTATCTCATTCAAATTCCAGTACCACTCGCCGGTACTCCATCGATCACAATGGTGTCACGGAACCATACATTTAACTGTACTATAAGTGCGCGGGCGTGCGTAAGAGATCGTGCCGATGCGCACCGCATGCAATCTGCCTTAATATTCCGCGCATGCCTTGGGCGCGGGCGTGGGGCTTGCGCCACGTCGCGACGCCGGCGGCGGCGGCAAAGAGTGGTTGCCGAGGGGCGGCGCTCCCACACGCCGCCCCGCCCCGCCCCTCGCCACCCCCACTCACCGCGAAGCCCGGACCGCGCTCCAGAAAGCGCATCCTGCGACCGCCCTGCGCGCCTCGCCCGCTACCGCTGCCGCTGCCGCAACCCCTTCCTCCCGCCACGCCACGTTCAGCTCAGAGCCAGCGGAGCGCGGAAGCCTCCAAATCCTTTGTCGATGGCTCGTGAAAAAATGAACACTGTATTTCGTGGAGTGAACGCCACGGTACAACAGAGTGGCCACTCGTCTAGTAGAGCAAATTTCCCTGAAATTTCCCTTTTTTTCTCCTCACTGATAAGATTTGTTATTTCACAGTACTTTTAAAAAATATATATTGAATTGAATTGAATTTGCCTTATTTTACGTGGCGAGACTCGGGCCATCAGGCCCGCTCTTCCGTCTGACCACGCAAATTTCGCTACGCTCCTTTCACCAACTAGGAGAGAAAGGAGGTATTTCTTGGGCGAGAAACAGGCGATTTGAATTTAGCTCAGAGGCGTCATTTAGGCTTGAGGATCTTTTACATGCAAGTAAAACTACGAACATGGGACAGCCGGCTTTACTTCCCCTCCGAAAGAAGGCGTACGAAGGATTTTTTCGCCCTTAAAAATCCACGGCTTCGATCGGGTTTGAACCCGCAAACTTGGGTACAACAGTCCAGTACGCTAACCGTTACCACCACCGCCGCCACCATCAACGCATTCTTAATACTAATCTGTCAGATCTCTGATTTCTCCCAGATTAAGTGTTTTTTTTAATTCTCAACACCAAAATTGAGTCACTGTTTTCACCAGACAAATATTATTTAAGGAAAACGAGCTAGTTATACTTCCGTCTCAAATGTTTCCTTGACTTCTAACGATTATTCTACTATTCAATTTCAGGGCAACGAAATTACCTGATTTTTTCCCGATTTTCCATTTTCCCAGAAAGTGGCCACCGTATACCAGGATCATGAAGGCAGACCACAAAACAAATGGATGACAGAAATG